ACACCCAACAAACCAAGTGCCACGCACCGCGCCAGCCTCCTCCGATCCCCCACCGTGAAAAAGAGCCCTCCGATCCGATCCAATCCCCGGCGCCCCGGCTGTCGTCCTCATGTGAACAGGTCGTACTTCACCGGCGTGCCTGTGGGGTCGATCCAGGGCTGCGCGTGCAGGAAGTTCTCGACCGTGAACTTGGTCGCGTCCGCCTTGCTGATCACCTTCTTGAACCCCGGCCAGTTGACGCGCCCCGCCGTGCTGGCGCCGGGCCCGGTGTTGCCGAACTCGGCGTACCACAGCGTCTTGAGCCCGAAGTCGCCGTTCCAGGGCAGGTACCCTGCCTTGTCGATGAAGTCCGGGATCTCCGACTCCATGAAGATGGTGCGCGAGCACTCGCGCCAGGGCCGGCCCAGGTAGTTGCGGATGGCCGGGCGCCCGGCGTCCCGGAGCGCGGCCTCCGCCTGGAACTCGCACTTCTGGAGCACGAACCCCGTGGCCTCCCGCGCGTCCGCGCGGCCCTGCGCGGTCACGATGTTCTGCTGGTTGTCCATCGGGCGGCGCAGGATGAGGATGCAGTTCTGGAACACCGCCGCCGCGTCGCCGAAGATGAAGTCCACGGTGCCGGAGATGATGCAGTTGCGGTAGAACTGCGCCTTGGAGTGCGCGTACAGCGTGTCCTGGAACCCGTCCATCTTGCAGTTGAGGAAGATAGCCTTGTCCGACTGCACCAGCAGCGCCACGGCCTGGTGCTTCTCCGCGCCGGCCGTGTTCTGGAACCCCATCCCGATGGCTATGAACCCGTCGCCTTGCGCAGCTATTCGTACCAAACGGCGCGTCAGTTGATAGAATTTGTCAGCTGATGAGAGCATTATTAGACGCCGATATGATGATGCACGGCGTCGTCGTCCTTACTGAAGGTTGCTGTCTTGAAAGTCGTGATCCCGTCGGCGAAGCTCTTCTTGCCGGTGATGACGGACTTCTTGGAGCCGTCACCTAAGAGGGTCACGTTCTTCATGGTCTTGGTGATGGTCACGTACTCCTCGTACATCCCCTCCTTCACTTGGATCACGTATCTATAGGAGTACGATTCACCAACAAGTTATAAATATGCATGGCCGCCACTCGTCAACCACTGCACTGCACCACCGGCCACCTTGCGTGCATGGATGCATGCACGCGACACGACACGACACGACGCCGTGCGTACTATATATACCTTCCGTCGTAGGTCTTTGGCATGGCGGCGAGCGCCTCGTTGATGGTCTTGAACTTGCCGCTGCCGTCCTTCGCCACCACCACGTTCGGCGTGAGTGTGTTCTTGAATCCGCCGCCCTTGAGCACCCTCCGCTCACCGTCGGGCACCCACTCCGGGATGCCGTCCTTGTCGAGTGCCGGCCCGGCTTGCGACGCCGCTGCCGCCGCGCCTTCCTCCTCCTCGAGCAACCGTCGTTTCGAGCCGCCCTTGAGTACGGAGAGTAGCGATGACCCCTTCTCGATGAGCGCCAGGGCGTTGCTGGTGAGCTCCTTCCCATCGGTGAACGACTCCTTCACCTTGGCCTTGAACTCATCGTCGGGGAACCCGTCGACGCACGTCTCCATGTTGGCGATCACGGCGCTGAGCCAGATGCGCAGCTGGTAGCTCTGCTTGGCGATGCCGTCCTTGTCGTCGACGCCCTTGAGCGTGCTGTTGAGATCGTCCTTGGCGTCCGCGAACACCTCCTTGCAGTCGGCGACGGCGGCCTTCACGCGCGGGTCGTTGCTCAGGATCAGGTCCGCGCGGTCGAACGCCTGGCTGATCGCGTCGCCGATCACCTCCACGGCGCTGCGGACGATGTCCTTGGGCGACGACGAGCTGGCGTTCGCGGCCTTGCCAAGGCTCTTCTCGCACGCGTCCGTGTAGTCTGTCTGCGAGCACATCGCCTTGATGCTCTTGGACACGGCCTTCAGATCCGTCTTCGGCTTCGCGTCCGACCCCGATTCCGCTTCCGAGTCCGAGTCCGACCCGCCGCTGGACTTGCCTTTGGCCGGCGACGACGTGCTCTTGGAAGAAGACTTGTGGCCGCCGTCGCTGGACGACTTCTTCCCGCTGTACATGACCGCGGCGCTGCCTATGACGATGAGTAAGATGATGATGGAGACGGTCCCGGCGGCGATCATGATGCGTCTGCGCTGCTTCCGCGCATTCTCGGCTTTGCGGCGCTCGGTGAGCGGACCGAAGTCGCCGAACGCCGACGACGACATGTTCGGAGCTCTTTTTCTAGTCTTTTTTTAGGGCAAAAATTTTGTCTTTTGGTGACCGCTTCCTCCTGGCCGTCACCCTCTGCCTTCCATCACCCAAGGCAGAGAGGATGGAGCAAGGGCGGGAGGCAATGGCGAGACAGGTTTATTTGGGGACTGTGGATTCCGGGGAAAGAAGGGCGGGGAGACGTTTGTGGAGGCTATGTTTGGGGTTCGTTATCTCTTGGATTCATTTTGCCACGCCAACGAATATATATAAGCATGGTGCACAGTCTATTTTTGTGGTACATGGAAGCAACAAGAGTCGGTATGCACAACAGAACTAAGGTCCCTCTGTATGTTCTCTTCATCAACATTTCTAAAAGATAAAACATATCCATGTGTGCTGCCACTCAAAACCAAAATTAGATCAAGGATCTGCAGCACCGTGGTTTCACTGCACAACATTTTATCGAGTACATGGCAATATGACTTAGAGTGCATAGTGTAAATCTACGGCCAGAGGTACCTGATGAGATCTCATGGAAGCTCTCTACAGATGGTGAATATTCTACAAACTCGGGCAGTCAACTTAAAGAGCTCGATTCTTGGGGTCAATAACAATCAACTTTGACACACTCATTTAGAAAGTTTGTGCAGCGTCTAAATATAAATTCTTCAGATATGGCTCACCATCAATAATAGACTATGAATGTCGGATAGGCTCTACTCTCTCCGTCCTATAATATAGTGCATTCTAGCACTAAAAAATTGTCCTCAAATATAATGTATTCTAAAAGACAAAAACCAAATTTATATTAAATACTTTCTATTTATCAACCAATCACCATTAATCACGTTGATGATAGCGTCTGATTAGGAAATAAAATGATGGTACATACGCCTTTTATGTTCTCTCTTAATTTGTCTTGAAATTCTTAGATACACCATATTACAGGACAGCGAGTAGGTGAGAGGTTGGCCCAACAATGTTGTTTGCACCCTCCATCATAAAGAGCCGGACCTAAGGGGACTTTCCATGTCGTGGTTCCACACTATCGAGCACTCCAAAAAGCATGATGCGAAGTCGGGATAGCACTTGCTAAATCGGAATGGGCTTGCCCAGGGTCCAGGGAACATGACTTGCAAGGAACATGCTAAAGCAGCGGCTAAGAAGTTTCTATCTTTACGTGCTCCCTCTCTCTATTTGTTCATTTTCTAACACGTTACCCATATTATAGACACTATAACCATTGTCCATCGTGACGGACTTATGTGTCTCTCTATGTATTTTGTCCATCCATATTCATATTTTTCTTTCTTTGCATCACAGTTCGCGTGTCTTTAATATACATGTATTTAATTGAAACACTGGCTCAAGTTATGGTGGCTATGGTGGCTCCTGTTGCTGTGAATGTCAGATGGCATCATGAATTTAAATATTTTACAATCAAATTTATAGTTCCAACAATTTTTTAATCTGCATATTAAGTTAAAGTTATCCCTTGTGCTTATTGTACCTTTTATTTGAAGATCTCCACTTATATATATTTTTTAAAATATGAATTTTACCTCCTATATACTACACTCTTAATAAAATGATGGCATATTGGTTGTTTAAGCCTGCACCATGTCCCATTGTCCCTCAAGATAGGTGGTAGAGCTTGTAGCTCGATCTATGACGGGACAACAATGCTAACCTCAAGAATATAATATAGTTAACCTTAACAAACACAATTTACTCCAAGTGAATTTCAAAAATCAAGGAAGGCACAACCGTCTTTGCTCTTCGCTAATAATCTCCTCCAATGCTTAAGATGTTGATGAATTCCCTCTATTAAAAATAAGTTATATGTGGTATTTTTTTATAAAAAAATAGAGTGCTTACAACTATACATGACAATGATTTGTGTAAGTTGTTACTTAAATAAATTTATACATCTTGGCTAACTCATATGTTATTTCAAGGAATTATTTAGATTATCTATCGTAATGGCAGGATGAATTATTTTGATGAAAATGCAACGGTTACTTTAAATGATGTTTAATAATGGTAGAGGTAGGTAACTTGGATTCAGATTTGGGTTTCTACTTTATTTTATTTTTTATAATGGTGAGGTGGGTGAACTTTTTAGAAATTAGAATAGTACCAACGACGACACATCAAAAATTAACTATTAATGTTGATTATCTCTCAAGTTAACTGTGCACGCATCAGACACTTATCGTCTTAATTAACAATGTTCCTTAGAATAAAGAGGTCTTAATTAACAATGTTCCTTAGAATAAAGAGGCTAAAGTTTAGCCCATAGGGCTGTTTGGATCCAGGGGCTAAAGATTAGCCATGTACTCTACTCATTTGTCCCTAATTAATACTCATGCATTTGAACCAATTAGTTTGTTATGAATGTCATACATTTGAAAATGGTGAGAGTAGGAACATGGTTCCTTAACTATTTTATTTGAACAACAGCACACAAAAGGAGTCAAGCTTGAGCTAGCTTAGGTAGAATAAGGAACTTTAACCACTCTCAGCATATACAGTCGTCTGGAAAACATGATATTAACACGATGCATTACAAATCCCCGTACATGTATACATAATAATAATATCTAGAGTTGTTCACCATAAATAAATAAAATTATGATGACGGGACGTACGTAATCCTATGTCATTTATCAACCGAGGATCATTACTATATTGTTACTTCTAGTAGTAAGAGGGAGAAAAGCACCAATTGTAGGCTTTGTAGCTCGATCAGGTTACTGGAGTGTGGAGCTGCAGTCAATCACTCAGGAGGGCAAGGCCCGATCTTGGGCTTGTAGGGATCATGCGTGCAGTTGGAGCTCCCTGCATGCTTCCCTTCGGGTACCGTCGGAATGGACTCCGAGACAGAAACGCGGTGGCCTCCCTCGCCCTGCAGCTGCAGGCGTTCCGCCGCGACGACGGTGCCGCGAGCGGAAGAAGCGACCAAAGTGATGATCATCAGAAGCGTCAGAGCCATCGCGGCCGCCGCTGGCTTCCTCCTTGCAGCTTCCATCTCGTCTGAGTCTCTAGCTCAGGTGCGTATATATAAATTTACGAGGTGTGTGGTATGAACTTGATCACTAATGAATAATGATCGATGGTTGTGAATTGAGAAGCTAGGGTACGGGCGCCGCTAAATTTATAGATGCGAATGGGCATAGATAGCGTGGTAAATTGCAACGAACTTATTAGGAGCTCACCGAGGAAGGCGCAACGGGAGTTCAGAGACTTCCCAGAGAAATCGCTGTGGAATGATAATACATATCACGCACTAGATATTGGAAGACCGGAGGAGCTGCTGAGCTGATAGAGTACATGAGAAGTGAGGTTTTTCTTTCTTTCTTTCTTTCTTTCTTTCGGCAAAGAATTAAGAAACCTGAACAGCCAGTGGATGAGTGGACTGAGAATCTTTGTCACGCGAAACAGCTGTTGTTTTTTCATCAGGATAGCAAATTCGTGGTTGGTTGACGAATGAATAACAACTCAGCTAGCTTAGCTAGGAAGTAAGCACTGCGTTGCAAGCAAAGCATTCTCCACGCGCTCACTACTCGTAGGTTTCGTGGGCGCGTGCGGTCAATGGGAATCTCGGAATGGTGACGAACATGCATGTTCGAATGTCAAGAGACGAATACATCTCGTGCCCAGCACAAAAGGTTAGCATTGTCTTTGGCTTCGTAAGTCGTTTCTCGGTTGCTTCAGGGCATCTGGGATTCTGGGCAGTAATTTACAGTAAACTTCACGGCGGAGTTATTTGGGTTTGACTTGGGTGTCCGCCCCGCCCCCATCCGAACGCCGCGTGACTCACTCCGCCGACCGCTGTGGTCATCTCACTCCCCCATCCCATCCCGCGTGACTCACTCCTCCAAAAAAAAAAAAAAATCCTGCTCGTCAGCTGGTCGCTGCGGCCATCCCCGCATGCGCTCAGCCGCCTCACGCTGCCACTGCACGCCCCACTCCGTCTCCGCGTGCCCAATCTATACTCACCCGTCGCGGCCACGGCATGCACCGCCACCACCACCCTGGCGCCACCGGGCGAAGATCGTCGCCACCCGAGACATCGTCCCCAGCGGTCGGCCGAAGACACCACGGCTGGGAGGACCCGTATGTTGTAAATGCATGTTTCAAGTGTTTCAGATGTTTTAGAAGTATGTTGCAATTGTTTTATTTTGATGTTGCAAAAGTAGATCGGAGGATGTTGCACATGTTGCATATGTTGCAAGTGTTCCAGAGGCATATTGCAAGTATTTGTTCAAAATGTTTCATCTGTTTCTAGACTATGTTGCAATCGTTCTGATATGAATGTTTCACATGCTTCACACAAATGTTGCAATAATATGTTCCAAATGTTTCAGCTATTTCAGTCTTATATTGCAGCAAGTTGTTTTCCATATTGCAAGTTGCAAGTGTTTTATTTGAGCGTTTTATGTTGTTCGGTTGAGGCGAGCCAGGGGCCGACAGACGGGGGCGCGGCTCACTGGGGGCTACATAGGACGGGGGTGCTGCGGTCGGGGCATGCTCGTCATCATGCTGGGCGTTGCAAAGAAGGACGCGGCGGGCTGCGAGGCGAGCTCGGGGCGCGGCGGACGTCCGGGCACTGGCCATGTCCATTTGCATTCGATACTACTACTCTAGTCGCTGAGATTCTCAAGTGAACTTTACATCGAATGCTTAGTCCTCCGGACGAACCATTTCTGTATCCATCCATATAGGGTGTATTTAGTTGCTCGAATATTGTTTTGTTGACTCACCGTATATCCTGGATAGGACTATATATAGGAGCTTAAAAAAAAAGTCTAGTGAAATTGTACGAGAAGATGCAAAAAAATACTAAGATACTGTCTAGTTGTCTGCATGAGCGAAATCAGTATGTTGAGGCTCATCATGTAGATCCACACCTTATCAGTTATCATTGCATTCGTGGGCTGCAGACTGCTTGGCTAGCTAAGATCGAGGCGCATGCTCATTCTGCATTTTACGCGCACGCCTGTGCATGGTCCACTAGAGCAGCAAATCAAGCATGCTCATAGTATCTCTCCTCTCTCCTCTCTCCCTAATATTAAGATGCAATTAGTTTCTATGTCCGTCATCTGTTTTCGGTTCTGGTTCTCCGCCCGTCCTGTCCCATGGTTTTCACTTCCTAGAATATAGAATACTAGTTCTTCGGGCGCGCCCATGCGCGCGGGCCACTGGCCACACGTATTTTTTGGAAAAAAAAGATATAATCAAGGAGGGCCTGTATTTCAATTTGAGAAAAATTTGAGGAGGTTTTCGAAAAAATCGCTGAGAGTGTCTCTGGAGTGCGGGTTGATTTTTGATAAAAGGAAGGGTTTTTTTGCAAAAAATCCGGAGCTCATCCGCTCGGATCATGCGGGTTGATTTGAAAATTATCTGAGGTGTTATTTGCAAAATATTCTGAGAGGGCCTCTGGAGCGCGGGTTGATTTCCCAAAAACATAAGGGATTTTTCGTAAAATGACCGCGCCTCGCCCGATCTGGGCCGTCGATGCGGCCGATCGAACGGCCGGGAACGGCCGGCGACGTGGCGCGCCGTGTGGGCAGCCTGGCCACACGCTTTTTTGTCTTTAGATATGCACGCACTAGGGCATGCTCCACCGAATTAAAAGGTCAACTAGAATATTTTAGGAATTTTCTAATTTTTTATGCATATTTTCCTTCATTTGTCTAGGATAAATTTTATTTTTTGGACCTTCTAGAGTTATTTTCACAAGCTCTAAATATTTTATCTGGATTCATGGTATCCCAATCTACGTAGTATATCTGGTTTTATTGATTTTTTTAGAATCTTAGAGACATTTCCTGAGGTTTAAAACCCATGTCAAGTATTTATCATTTTGTTAGCTATAAAAAAGATAAAACCAATCAGGACAGAAAGGTTGCCGTTTTAAAAGTTTATACAGTAAGATGTTTAGTTTCATAGTTTAATTTAAGAAGGATTGAAGGAAAAATCAGATTACAGTAATAATTCAAAATGGTAAAATAGACTTTTTACGTCTTGCGGCCTAAACCTGCTTCACTGCTGTCCGTGACTTCCTGAAGACCGATTCCGATTCGCCATGGGCTTCGTAAGGCCCAGGCCATCCGGAGACTAGAGGTCGGCCCGTTTCCCGAGCCAATTGAGAATTTGAGATCGGCTGCACGTCCTGCTCCATGAGAATTTGATCGGCACAACAACGACGGCCGTTGCCTGGCACTTGCTCCGTAAAAAAAGAGTAATTATAGGATTCATGCAAGTCAAATAAGCTAAAGTATGTTAAATAGTATTAATGTTATGTCTTTAAATAAGTTTATTACGAAAATAAATTCTGTAACTGTTTTAGCTTTTGGCTTCTAATAAATTTCCTGTAGAGGTGCAAACCCCCTCCAGTTTCATAAAAAATATTCCGTAATTAATTTAATAGTAGTTATTTTGTACTTCCTGCATTCCAATTATAACATATTTTGGCTTTTCTATATACATTGCTTTATTATGCATCTAAACGTCGTATATATTCAAGTGCATAGCAAAAGCTATGAATCTAGAAAAAGTCAAAACGTCTTATAATTTGGAATGGAGAGATCATCATAAATTATAATACTTTTTTTATAATTTTGACTAAAATTCAAATCATTTGACTCCTTAAAAACGAAAATTGCATTCTTTTTAGGATGGAGGGTGTATCCTATAGGTCTGACATAGAAACACTGACAAGTGCGTGGTAATCAACCCACAACACATAACACTCAGCACATATCCCATCAGCTACCATGACAAAAATGATGAGCATGTATGTAGTACGCTAATTATATATGCTAACCTCACTTAGAGAGTTAGAATGTGGCGAGAACATCACCGGAGTCATCAGGATCAACTTCGTTACATGATATAATTTTTTTAACTTTAACAATATTTTATTAAAGGATTTATAAATTTTGTTGGGGTCAATGGACCACGACAAAACCCCCTAGATTTGCTCCTTTTGCATTTGGAGTTTTGCAATACAACTTACTCGTGTTTCACAGCTCTAGGCCCGTGGATCACTGTCAGATTTAAATTCGACATCACTACCAGAATCAAACCCGATAGCTGTCATGGACTTGCCTATCACTGTAGGGCCAAGGCTAGACCTAGCAGTGATAGGATTAGGGTCACTAACGGGTTAAGCCTCTACTCGGTAGTGATAGGATAATACTCACTACCAAGTCAGTATTTTTTACTTGGCAGTGTCAGTCATTTTCTAATTTTTGTTGATATATTTTATTATTTTATTTAAATAGAGGTTACTTCCTTATTTTTATATTTAATATTATTAATACATCACTTATATCTCACCACCATGAAGATTATACTACAACTATAACGAGTCAAATCTTCGTCACATGATTTGACAATGAATATATCGTAATTAGAAAAATCATACATGATAGGTAGAAATAAAGTCAATACAAACAAAGTATAAAAAAAAACCAAAGTCCTAGAAAAAAGCATATGATAGTTTCATTAATACAAATCAAGTGGAGCACACTCACTGCTACTAATTATTATATTGCATGATAGCCCGTGTACTGAGTATCTTTGATTATGTAATCGAGCACATCATTTAAATAAAATCAACGTACGTATTAGTGCACTCTCTTGCTTCAGAAGTCCAAGCACATGGACTACCAAAGGTGAAACATAGTGGTCTAAATGGTAATGTGTTAGTTTCCAAAGAAAAATATAAATGACTCTGCTATCCATGTGTAGTGAGCGATGCAGTGGTACTCGAGTTGCTCAGAATATGTAAGCGGTGTCACAAACAGAATATGAGAAACATGAATGGGAACATAATAATAATAAGTATACACTCTAAGCACCACTTTGACTATGACATGTTATGTTCAAGACAATCGACATCATAAAAGGAGGTGGGTTTTCTTCTTATTTAGCTATCCCTTCACCACAAGGAACCAGAGACAGTTCTTTTTCATTTGGATCTTCACCCACAACTAAATCCAAAGGTGGTTCTTCTTCAACTGGATCTTCATTCACAAGTACAAATTAGGTTGATCTGTCTTGGAACAACCTTCAACCACAACCGAATCATTGGTGAGGAAGATGCAATCTTCTTTCCCATCTCTCTATGTTTTGAAAAAAAATCGATGCAATGTGTCCATTCTTCATGCCTAAAGTGTATGACAAATAGAAACACAAAATTGACATCAAAATTCAAGCACTTCAACCAACAAAAAACAATCCAACTAACTAGCATGCTAATCTCTATTCTAAATTTCAGTAAATAGGTGATGATTTACTAATCTAGACGATGTCATCTCATCCATATGTTCCCTAATGTTTTAATCCTCCAAAAGAGTATATGTTGTCCACATAATGCACTATACAATCAATCACAACTCGAATTGATTCCAATTTGATATCAAGGCAGACAAATATGAGAGGGCACATGACCCAAAAATTGTGCAACCACGGCACACATCAATCATGAAGTGCCATGCATGCTAGCACATGATGCCACAAATTGGATCTAGAGAAGAATAGTGGCATGTGAGTTGTATGGCAGGGCCGAGGCACGCCAGTGTAGCCCAGCACAAGCCGCAACATAGCATGCTACAACACATTCAAGACAAAGTGATGGGAAATTGGGAATCAAGGCTTGGCCAATGACTACTCAAGGATGCCGGATGGTATCAGTGAGTCGCTAGAAAATCACTTTACCTAAATCAAACTTGCTGACGCTGATCAACCCAAGTACTCCCTTCATACTCAAAATTTAAATCGTTTTGGACATGATTTAGGATACCAAGGAGTGATAAATTAGGGCACATTTTCCTATTTGCCCTTATTAAATAGGATTTCAGGTTTCTCCCATGCAACAAGCACTCCCTGCTAAACTAGTTAGCACTGTGAAGCTCAAGGTGAGAGGTCCTAGGTTTAATCCCTTGTTGGTTGTCTTATTTTTTGGCGTGGTGCGTGAATTTTGCATGGTGCTGTGCGTGCGTCGGTCTCTTGCGTGACTTCACGCTGTGATTTTCCGACGGGGCGCCAGCATTACTTGTTCGACGGCAAGCGAGGAGGCACGGTTTAAGGTTCTCCTCGGGATTGAGCGACGAGAGATGAAGGATCAGGGGCAACTTCGTCCAAAACACTGTTAAAGCATGCAAAACGACATGACTTGAATTGTGAACAGTAGAGTCATCCTTCAAAACGACTTGAATTTTGAGTATCGAGGGAGTATATTTACATCTTCCATGGTGTTGGCCAAAGAAGGCAAAAACTGTTGCTGAACTAAAATGGAGAAATAATAATAGTATCAACAACTATACGTAATTCTTTTATTTACATAAATCCAAATCAATAGCTAGCTGTCATTTCTGAGTCGTGGATAAAAAATGTCAATAACTAATCTCATTTCATATTTTTCCTCTCTTAAGGGACAGAGTATCATCATAATTTTGAGTGATGTTCACACGATGGTGCAAAAAAAGAGATTAAGAATTTACCAACTAGTACTTCATGATGTGTACCATTTGAGGTTGGTAGGAGCAAGGATGGAAGCAGCACTAGGACAGAGTTAAGTTGATTCTGCAAGCTCTCAATCAAACTTCAGACCATGGTTTAGACCCCAGACCCTCTCAACATTAAAAACAAGACAAAAAGAACCATTCATGAGTTCTTAAACCAGGATGTCAAATTAAGCCAATGCTTGGTGGCAGATGATGAGCTCTCACTGTTAGAAAGATCATGTCCGGATCATAAGCAAGTTCAAAACTTTTGCATCATATACATAAATATATAAGCATATTTCTATTGCTCTTGATTCCCTAGCAGCCTCACTGCCTCATCAGTCATCACAGCCATGACAGAGACAGGGTTCGGGGATTCAACCGAGATAGTCTGAATTTCGGCGAAATTCGTCCATTTTGGACCGAAATTTCCTGAAATTCGTCCATTTCAGTTGGGACCGAAATTTTGTTCGAAAATGAATCCCAGAAATGTACCATTACAGTAGCACAAAAAAATATACCACTAGCATAGTAGCATATTCATCAAGCATTTCACTGTCAGCTTTTACCTCTTGTGGACGCCAACTGTCTTTATATACACCTCAGTCCTCTCCCCCTCACACACCTCTCCTCCACTAAAAAACCTCAAAGGTAGGGGCGGTCAGTGGTCGCCTCGCCGTCAGGAGCCCCACCCTCCTCCCCCGGAGCTCTCCACTCCGCCATGCTTCCGAGGCCGAGCCAGAGAAGCATCTTCCACCTCGGGGAGGAGGGTGTCGACGACCCCCGCGGCGCCGACGAGCATGTCAAGAACACCGATACTACACGTATCCTCGCAGGGCGCCGAGACCACGGCCGTCATGGGCGAAAGCAAGACTCCGCCGTCGATGCGGTCGGGGTTGGGCTGCAGATCCTGGTCCAGAACCGCCACCACACGCGGGCTTCGCCGCACTCGCATATCATCCTGAAGCAGGTGGTGGTCCTGCCGACGACGGTGGCACGCCGCCACCGCCGTGGACCTGGCAGCAGCTTCTTGAGCACCTGCTCCCGCTGCAGGAAGGAGCTCATCAGCACCAAGAACGTGTACATGTACAGGTGCGTGCGACTAGCAAACACAAGATCTCCGAGATGTCTGAAACGAAGCCGTTCATTTCTAATTGTTGCGTGTTCTGCCTTGTGCAGAGGCGACCAGGGGTTCTGCAGCGAGGAGTGCCGGAGTCAGCAGATCTTGACAGACGAGGCGACGGAGCGTGAAGCCATGATCAAGAAGGAGCGCATGCGGCGAGGGTTGCCTCACCATCTCCACCACGGGCCACGGTCGGCAATGGGGGCGATCGGTGGTGCGTCGAGGAGACTTGTTGCAATAGCCTACTAGGATCTAGCATCTGTCCAATTGTCCATGTCCATCTGAGGTCGATGCAAAGAAATGGCAACTAGTACTCTTTGCGTACTGGTGATGTTATACGAACCAACGATATCCTTGCATTCAGAGGAGAGAGACGGGAAAAAAAACTTAGCAAATCGAGGTGCAAAATTTTGTAAGGAATCACGGGAGAACCGCCATGTTTAGCTGTTTGTGTAAACTGAAGGGAGAGAGATGCAGAATAGGAGTATTGCATACAGAGATGATGTAAGATTGTGAGAATCACATAAACACCAAAGTTAAAGTAAGTGACTGTTTTTCTGCAACTTGCCAAGGCTTAATAAGATAGCAAGAATCACATAAACGATGCAGCTTGCTCTCTCTCGTTTCGTCACATCTGTGGTTGAAATCAATTGGAAGGAAGAAGAATATGACAGTTGTACATGAGAACATATGTATATCTGAGAATATATGAACAGACAGAACAGTCGCTATTCTTGTAATTGGACCAATTTCTTTCAACTGAACTCGTGGAGCAACTGTGGACACAAGTACTGACGCATCACACTAGTAGGAGTCTCACATTGTACCGGAATTTGATGCCGAAAGGAACTAGGGAGAGGAGAGAATAATACCCTGGCATCTAGCAGATTGATGGGGAAATGGCACCAAAATGGAATCTTCCATTCATGGGGCTGCAAAACAGTCACCGATTTAGAAGCAGCTGCTACCACACTGGGTCTATGAAACGGGAACCAAGGCACTAGCTAGCTTAGTGGATACCGACTATAATCGTCCCTGGGCACTAGTAGCACTCATATACATATGTATGTATTACTGTAACTGTACGTATAACTCACTGTGTTTGGGCCAGGGATAATACGGTGTACCTAGCGAAAAGGATGTGTATAAAAACCGGTAACGCTTACACACGTGCGTCTGTCCATCCGGACGCAGGCTTGCGGCTTCTCAGGTCTGCACAGCGGACTGGCCCAATTAACCTGCTCATCTCTACGTCTCCCCTGTATATCTCTCTCGCAAAAAAAAAAAAAAAAAATCTCCCAACTCCACCTCGCCGCATCGTGGCTTTACCATGCCGTGCCTCCATCCGCCCACCCCATTCCACCTCGCTGCAGCCATCCCTCGCCGCGTCCCCATCCTGCGCCGCGCCCCGCTCCATCCCCCGCCACGCCACGCCGCATTCCCTGTCGGGCCATAGTTTACCTCGCTCGTCATGGCCACTGCGTTCACCGCGCCGCCACCACCCCGACGCCACCAGGAGGAGGTCACCGCCGGTCCAGACATCGCTCCCACGGCTGGCCGAAGACACCGCGGCGGTAGGAAAGGGAGGCCTACGCCTATGCCTGCGCCTGCGCCTGCGCCTAGGTGTACATTGGGCCGTTATTCTCGATGTCCCCCTGACCTGAGCTCGCTGGCTATCGCAGTTCCCCACCAGGTAGGCCGTGGCCACCGGCGCCGCTGTTCAAGTGTTTTAGACGTATGTTTCAAGTGTTTTATCTAGATGTTGCAAAAGTAGATCTGGTATGTTACATATGTGTTGTAATGACAATATACGCATGTTGCAAGCTTATGTTTCAAGTGTTTATATGTTTCAAGTGTTTCATCTGAATGTTGCATATGTTGCTATGACTATACATATATGTTTCAAGTGTTTCAAATGTTTCATACATATATTGCAAAAGTAGATATGGATGTTGCAAAAGTAAATTTGGATGTTGCATATGTTGCTATGGCTATACATGCATGTTTCAAGTGGTTTATCTATTTCAAACATATGTTGCAAGTGTTTCATCTTGGTGTTGCACATGTTGCAATGGCGCCGGTGGGCATGGCAGATACCGGCCTACCACAGCCACCACCTGCTGCTGCTAGGGCATCGCCATGGGACACCGTACGGGCACCTGAGGCCAGCATGTGCCTCCACGGTGCGCATCTGCAGGTGAGGTAGGTGACTGGGACCCACGTGGGTTTCCTGCATGCGCACGCGACAGTCAGGGTGGGAAGCAGCGTGAGGCCCACGTGGTGGGGGTGCAAAAACAGGCGTCACGGCCACCTTTTGCGTGCAGCACGGTATCCCGCCTATTAGCGCTAGCCACAGACGGACACTAGTGGTTTTCCGTTAATAAAACACCAAAAAAATCCTTTTCCCTCATGTTTTTCTTTCACTCTTGCTCGGGGCAATTTTTTCCTTTTTTTGGCAAGGATTTTGCTTAGGGCAATGTAACGGATGGCGCAGAGCTTGTATCTGGCGGTTTGCTTTGTTGGCTTTGCATATTTTTCATGCTTTCTAATGCCATGCGTTAGCAAAAGCAGATCGCTCTTATTTAGGCAGCTTTCATGTAGGAGTGTTTCTACCGGTAATGGCAAAAAAATATTAGGCCAACGCTCATATCTGCTCCCATAGTGCTGTATGAATAACATCTAGATGGGTTTCTAAATATTTTCGTGAATTAGCTTTTGGCAATCGTGATGTTGGAGACAACACAGCACCTTAGCTGCATACCAGCAGCACTCATTGTCTCGCATGTTTTAGCGAACCTTTGCGACCCACGACCATAGTGCTTGGAAGATAGATCCTGCCAATCACCGGTGAAGCCGAGCTTTATTTTCAATACGTTAAAAAAGCTTTATTTTTCGCTGGATAGACAACTAAGGACAAAAGTTTTTTCTTTTAAATTACCCCTCTATCCAAAAGAATCGCAATTCTAAGACCTGGCACAAATACCAAGGTAGAGGTAAAATTACAATAATGCCCTTGTGAAGTTTAATTCCAATCCAATTCTTAGGATTGTATTTTTTTGGGACGGAGGGAGTACACGATACGGACGATACAATCAAGTAAATGGAATATAGATTCTGCTCAAGGATTTTGCTAAAAAGATAGAATATATTTACAAAGAGACATTTGTCCCAGTACCTGTTGGTTATTTGAACCTGCTGACGTTGTAATTTTGTTACTGCATGCGGTAATGAAATTTGGATATTTTATGGTGAAAATTCTTTTTTCCCCTTGTACCTTATTTGGAAGCCATTAGAGTCGTTTTAGCGTTTGCTTCTTAAAAAATTCAAACTTTTCAGAAAAGATATTAATAGTGCTTTCTTGAATGCTTATATAGAGGAAAGATTTATTTGAGGCAACCCTTGGTTCTGAAAATTCAAAGTTTACAATCATATTTACAAATAGCAAAAAACTTCATATATGGTTTGAAACTAGTGTAAGGATCGAATAATGATCCTAAGAGGGGTTGAATTGGAGCTATATAAAAATATATCAAGACAAACCTTAGCTTATGCAAAACTATCATCCCCCACTTACGGTTCTTACCTAAGGACTAAAGGATTCATACTAAACATGTACTGATCAAAGGACACAAGGACTAAAGGATTCATACTAAACATGGACTATCAAAGGACACACTAAAATATTGTCCTTAGTTCACAAGAAATAAAAAGAGGCAAGGGAACAAACAAATTTCTCCCATGGTATTAGTCGACAAAATGCAACCCTCTAGTTTACGTTAGAGCTCCATCGAGGTACGCTCCTAGACACCATGCCTTCTCCAATCACAGGGTTTGTTATTGACCAAAGACAATAGTGACATGGTGTCCCTATACCACCTGACTGTTCTGATTTTGGTGTTGGACTCCACCCAACCAAAGATAGGGTCGTGAGTGAGTCACACGATTTCATCATTACACCACAGTCACACGATACAGGTCACTGTTGGATCACAAACCAAAGGAGGAGTGAGTCAGCATTGTCCTGAATGTTCAAAAACAAAAGGGATGTTCTGCACTGCATGTTCTGAAATACATGTGTAATATGAACTTCGTATCAATTGGATGTACAATTCTCTTTAATGAGGATATGCAGAATACAGTGTATCTCTGTTTGGTAGCGAATTCAGAGAGCTAATAATTAAAGCAGTGTGTTAAAATTCACCCCAACTGACATGACAGGATCAATTCAAATTTTAGTAGAAACATGCATCCAAAATCCAAAATAAACGTGGTTACAATTCAATTCACGCATCAACGACAGCATCACCACGCCAGCTGCTAGGGCTGTTGATGGTCGAAGACAGCTGCTCTGGGTTGTGATAGAGGCCGGGCCGAGGAAGTGAGCCTTGTTAGGTTGATCTCTCCCCAAGATGGGCCCAACGGCCAACTTGGGCCTTGATCCCGCTCCCTGATCGGGGACGCCCAACCCTACATGGTTGGTGGGCCACAGTCGCACTGCGCTATATAAAGAGGTGGGGCCGACAGATCACGATATGAGGTTCACTGGTTGCCATAGTACCCCATCAACAGAACCCTATCCGATCTAAGGGAGAGCAGCAGCGGCGGGAAGCGCCGCCACCGTCCTCCTCGACTCGCCGCCACCTGGACGCCGTCGTCACTGGACTGCGTCGCCCCTCTCCATCGACCCCAACTCGACAGCGCCTTCTTCACCGATGCCATGGCCAGCTCCTCCGCCAAGCCCACTGATGGTCGGCAACACATCCCCTCTCTCATCCCTCTCTCTAGTTCATGTTCTAGGACGGATCTATGTGTTCTATCCCGAATAGAAGCATGTACACCTAGATCTACACCTAGGAGCATCCTAGGATTTTTAACATTGGTATCAGTCGCCTATACTAGCGTGTAGATCTAGATCGGGGAAGAAATCAGAAGGAGGTGAATCAATTGAAACAAATTGAGATGCATCGGGTTCTAACTCTAACCCTAACCCTAGAAGAAGGGGTAGGAAAGGAAGGGGTTCCTACCTAGGCTTCGCCCGCCGCGTCACCACCGCCGGACGTCGCTTGGATGCCTCGCGGGAAGTAAACCCGAGCCTGTGAGGTCTCGCCGCCGCATTGTCTTCACGATTTCCACCTCGGGCTCGGGCAAAGGGCACCACCTCAGTGCCACTCGATGGCACCGCGCGTGGCTCCGGCCACATGCGTGCGCCGACGAGGAGTACCACGGCGGCGCCACCATCTTCCGCCGCG